GCTTCAACACGTCGGTGTTCGGCAACGCTAATTAGAATTAATTACACGCGGGGGAAACTTGTGAGATCAATCAGCGCGTCTCCTCCCTCCGCTTTGGAGTCTCAGCACAAACTTCAGCCCAACGCCGCTGCTCTGGGGGTCACAGCGAGCTCCGTCCCTCCGCTCAGACTGCAGAGCAGCGCCTTGGAGACCAGGCAGAGCGGGGCGAGCGAGCAGCTCTCACAAACGAGCTCCACATCCAGGCTAATTGGGGACGAGTTCTAAGCAATTAATTGTTCAAGGGAGTCCCAAACGCAGGGCAAGTTCAACGCGCCTCATTAGAGAACGTTATCAAAGCGGCCTCGTCGGGAAAGACACAGCCGGTAATGAGGAAGGCAATTAGTGTGTCTGCTGAGATGTCAGCCAGGAGCCCCATCCCGATTTCAGGCTGAGCTTTGGCACTGGGCAGAGCCATCCCACCTGACGTGACAAGGGTCACCGTGCCGCTGGTGACGGTGAGACGCCTCCTCCCCTCTGCTGAGGGCGGGCAGGGGAAGCAGCTCTGCCCCCAGGAGCCCCAGGAGCGGCGCTGCCCTCGGCTTCCCCACCTCCCCGAGCTCCGGGCAGAACGGCGGCCCTGCGGCCCTCAGGATCCCCATGCAGAAGGGTGGGCCGGGGCCGTGCCCCCCTCGCCCCGCGCTCAGGAGGACCTGTGCCAGCAGCTCCCTCATGGTGACACCTTGCCTTCTGCTGGCCGTTTATTCGCCGCCACTTTTGCTCGCTCCTGTTACAAGCCTGCTCTTTAGCTTTCAATGGCTCTTTGGTGCCCTGGCACCCTGATGTGTCACAGGCCATTCTCTGGCAATCAGTCACACTCTCACAGGCGCTCTTTGTGCAAAAGGGCCTCGGCTCCTCGTCCCCATCAAGACGGTCTCTGCCGCAGCACTTTGCCTCCCCACAATCCGGCCAACCAGGACCGAGACTTGGACACCTACAAAACGCTGCCTGCAGGCGGCACAGGCCGGGCTCGGCCAAGGAGGGCACGGTGCCGCGTCAGGACGGCCCCAGGCAGCCACAGCGCCGACGGACGGCCGCAGCCCCCGCCCCCCACTTTGTCCCCAGCGGCCGCTGGCGGTCACGCACGTACCGGCGCCTGGCCCAGCTCGGCGGCGATGTCGGTGATGGCGTCGCGGTGCTCCTTCAGCACCTCGCTCACCGCGATGTCGGTCCCTTTTGGGGGGATGTCGAACACCAGCACCATCCCAGAGGACAGCCCTGCGGGAGCGGCGCGCCGGAGCCTTCGGCGGGGACTGCAGCGCTGCTGTGCCCCCCCAGCCCGCCCCGTGTCACTGTCACACCTCGCTCTCCCCCAGGCCCTGCGCCCCCGCGAGGCTCGCTCACACACGGCGCTTCCCTGCGGGAGCCACCAGGTGAGCGCAGCCCCTTTGGCCGTCACCACGTCACCCTGCTTCACCCCCGGCTCCGCAGCACCACCCGGTGCAGCCCTGCCCGTTCCTCCTCCCGGTGCTTCACTCACCCACGCAGATGAAACGTTCTCCTGCTGCAGAGATCCCTCGAGCAAACGCGGCTTGTGCTGAAAGGGAACCAGGAGCCGGCTGGGTTGCAGCCTGCAGCAGCTCACATCATCAGCAGGAAGCTGGTGTGAGTGCCATCCCCACCATCCCAGCTGCAGTTGCCACAGTAGGTCCCCATCCACCCACCCCAAGCCCAGGCTGTGCCTGCACAGTGGAGCTGGGGTGACGCAGAACCCCCTCCACACACTCCTGCTAAGCTGCTGAGTGGCCCTGGCCTGGCTCAGTCCAGCCTGGACACAGGAGCAATGCTGTGGGTGTCTCCAGCCAGCAGGAACTGGGCTGCACCACAGGAACGCTCGGTCTCACAGCCCTGGGAAGAGAGGGCAGAGGGCCCAGGGCTCCTCACTGCCCTCCTGCTGTGGGATTTACCTGGAGGGGGCTCTGCGATGTCCAGCGCGTGCCAATACACCATGATGGAGCCATCTGATTCGTACATCTGGAAAGAGAAAGAAAAGACGAATGAGACCCGGGCAGTGGCAAAGCTCCCACAGCCTTGTGCTCCACCGCTGCCCGAAAGGGAGCAGCAGTGCTCTGGTTATGCAGCCCTGAGCCCAGCTGCCACCCCAGCGAGTTCACCTTCCCAGTGCTGCGAGCGTTGGTCACCCCGTGCAGGAGAACACCTCACCTGGATGCCTTTCTGACAGGTCAGCACCAGCAGGGTGCGCGCCGGCAGGACACACCAGGCAGCCTGGAAGGAAGCACAGCTCAGCAGGGGACAGGCAGACCTCATCCCTCCCCAGGGCTGCCCGCAGCCGCGTTTCCGGCTCCCGTCGAACGGGGCGGGAGCTGGGATGGATTGCCTCCAGGGAGCCTCTTCAGGAAGCTCCTTCCCTCCCATCTCTGCAGTCGGACTCCTTAGGGGCCCTTTTCAACCCGAGATGCTCCGTGTCTCCACGCCCCTGTAACTCGGACATCGCGGGCTCCCGCCCCCGTCCCAGCGGCTCCCCGCTCCGTCCCTCGGCACGGCGGCCTCTTCTCGCCCCTTCGCCCCACCGCCTCCTCGCGCTCAGCGCCGTCTGCGCCGCGTGCCGCCCGCCTCGGGCGCCGCCCGCACAGCGCGGAGTCGCCGGCAGCGCCGCGCCTGGCCGCGGGGAGGGGAACCGGAGCGGAGGCCCAGCTGGCGGCACCGCCTCCCGTCCCGCCGCCGTCGGTACCCGGCCCTCGGCCCTCCAGCTCCCCGCCCGGTTTGTCCCCGCTCCGCTCGGGCCCGGCCGAGGGGCGGCGCGGGGTCCCACCTGCGTGACGAGCGAAGCCCCGCCGCCCGCCCGGGCCTGGAGCTGCCGCTGGGCGCGGCCCGCCGCGTCGCCGGTGGCGCTGAGCACGGTGACGGCGGGGCCGTGCACGGAGCCGAGGAAGGCGAGCGGCCCGCGGGGCGGGAGGAGCACGCTCAGGTTGTTGTAGAGCGCCGACGAGCTGCCGCGCAGCGCCATGCTCTTCTCCCGGCGGTACATCGCGGCCCGCGGCGCTCCCGCCGTTCCGTCGCCCCAGGCCGGCTCCGGCCCCGCTCCGATCCCGGTCCCGCTCTCAGGCCCGCTCGCTCCGCGGCTCGGCCGCTGCCCGCCGTAACCATGGAGACGGCGGCGCCGAGCGATGACGTAAGGGGGCCGGAGGCGCGTCGCGGTGACGTCATCACAGAGCGCCGATATTCGGGAGCGACGTTGCCGTGGAGACCGAGACGCCGCCCTGCGGGGAGAGGTGAGCGGGGCGGGCGGCGGGGCGGGGGCTGCGAAAGGGTCCGGGGTGCCGAGGGGAGCTGGGGACGCCGGCGGCCGCGCAGAGCCGGGCCGGAAGGCCGCGCAGCCCGGAGCCGCCGCCTCCAGCCCCGCGGCCGCCGTGTCCCCGTGCAGGCCATGGCCTCCCGCGAGCGCACGGCCGCCGCCCGGCAGCGCGGGGACAAAACGCGGACCCCCAGCGCCGCTCCTCCGGACGCGGTCCCCGGGCGGCTGTGCGAGGCGCAGTGGCTGTCCGTGCTGGCGGCCGAGGAGCGGGACGACGTCGTAGGGGACGCGGTGGCCGAGCTGCTGGGAGCCGTCGTGGAGCGCTGCTTCCAGGCCGAGCTGGCCCGGCAGGTGGGCGGCGCGCAGCCCCGGGTGTCCGCGTTGGGTCCGGGCGCGCTTCGAGCGCGTGTCACGGCGCCGACGTGCGGCCCTGCGCGGGCAGTGCGTGCCGTTCGCCGTGAGCCAGGCGAGGGCCGAGCTGCTGCGGGCGGCCGCGTGGCGCTTCCCGGTGCGGGACGAAGGCGACGCGGAGCTGGAGGCGGCCGGTGCGTGGCAGGAGGACGAGGAGCCCCCGCCGGGTGCCACCGACGCCTGGGCTGAGGGTGCCGTGCCCACCCTTCGAGTGTGTCCGGCCGCAGGGCACGCAGAGGTGATTCCCCCCCTACCTTTCCCCTCCCCAGCGCTGTGGGTTTCTGTTCTCGCACGTGTGGCCAGGATGGGGGAGTCAGCTCGTAACTCACCCCTTAGCAGCCCCGCTTTGCCCTTTCCCAGGGAGGCTGGGCGCTGTGCTCTGTGCCCCGGCCCCACTGCTGTCCCTGTGCTCTGCCCAGGTCTCCAGCACCGACACGGACGCCGTCCCATCCGAGGCTGAGGGGGGCGGCGTGCCACTGCCCTCCCCGACACCGTCGGTGCAGGATGAGGTGCTCGACGCTCCGCAGACCTCCAAGGGATCGGGCAGCCCCCCCGTGCCAGCCCTGCTGCCGGCCCCGCTCAGCCGCAACACGGCCCGGCCCCGGCGCCTGCCTGGCATCAAACACCCAGGGCCACGGGTGTGGGCGGAGATCAGCGATGCGGCGGAAGCTGAAGAGCAGGGAGTGCCACAGCCCCCCTCCTGCAGCGACCTGATGGCGATGTGGGCACGGAAATCTCCGCGCAGTGAGGGGTGGGCGTGCGATAGACGCAGCACCGCTCTGCTGCACCCCTCCACGCTCCGGATCCGGCCCCACGTGGAGGTGTTGGAGCCGGGCGCAGAGATCGAGCGGCAGCCGCGTCCCCTCCGGCACCGGCGGCAGCCCCGCGGCCCCTCTGGGCAGGATGTGGGGCCGGGTGCCTCGCGATCTCCCCGAGGGCTGGCGGCTGTGGAGGCGCCGCGGCTCTTACCGCCCATCGCGGGGGCCGGGCAGCCCGGCAGCTCCCGATCTCCGGTGCTGGGCTCCTTACTGGGCACCGTCCGGCTGGCTCCCGGTGTCACCATCAGGCACGGAGGCAGCGAGGGGCGCGGGCTGCACCTCCCTGTGAGCAGAGAGGATGCGGAGGAGGAGACGGGAGAAGCCAAGAGGGACCTGAGGCCCCTCCGCCCCACTTTGCCCTTCCCTGCCATCGCGGTCAGCCAGGTCACCGGCGATGGCACACCTTGAATACAGCAGAGTCCAACATCTGGCTGTGGGCCTGAGTGTGGCGTGGGGTGAGAGCTCCCTCTGCTCCATCCGGGATGGCAGCCCCGTCCCATCCTCGTCCCGGGGCATCGCGGTGCCTCGGCTCCTTGCTGTGATGCTGGCTGCCAAGCCCTGCTTTCGGCAGCTGCCATAGGATTAAGGTGAAGGGATGCTCGGGGTCTGCACCCAAACATCAGCCCCAGTGGAAGCTCAGAACAGATGTGCCGCAGGGCTTGGCCCTCCCACAGCCACATCCACCCCAGCTCTGTGGTTCTCAGGGCAACCTGGGGGAGCCTCACAGCGCTCAGCAACCGCAAGGGAAAAAGAGAAGGGAGAGAGAGAGATGGAGAGGCAGGGAGAGCAGCAGCCCCCGACCCAGCGCCAGGCCTGCTGAGGGCTGTTTGGTGCACAGAGGCCCCCAGACCGTGTGCATCCCTGTTTATCAGCCCCCTTCCTGCACTTCTGGACCCCTCTGTAACCTCAGTGTCAGGTGTGGCTGAGCAGCCCGGGCTGTCCTGTGTGACAAGGTGCGCTCAGCCCGCTCCCGCCTGCTCTCCCACCCTGCTTCCCATCTCTGCCCTGCGTCCTGGGGCCAAATTGCTGCCACCCATCCCTGCTCTGTGCTCCAGCAGCTGGCGGAGCTGCCGTGCACTGCTGCCGGGGAATCGGGAGGGAGCTGCATGGTGCACAGCTGCGGGGCCGGGCCAATGCTGGACTCTGCCCCCCGGCTGCTCCTGGGTGTTCAGCTGCCCCCCGGCCGCAGCCATGGAGCTGCCGAGCTTCTGCAGCCACCCGCTGTGGTCCGTGCTGGCCTTGCTGCTGGGGATGCTGCTCTGGGCCACGAGGAGACGCGCCTGGGACCCACGCAGGTGTCCCACCGACCTGACCGGCAAGACGGTCATCGTCACCGGAGCCAACAGCGGTGAGAGGGGCCTCGGTGGCACCATGGGGCCGCAGGGCTGTGAGGGGCTGCGGGTGCTGCGCCGTGGGATGAGGGTGACACGTGGGGCAGCGTGGGGACGTGGGGCGGCTTGTGGGTCCCTGCCTTCCCACTGCCAGCTCTGGTGGCACCGAGGGCTGCAGGAGAAGTGGCTGCCCGTCCCTGGGCTGCGCTCCGCCACCCCACGCTCTGCCCCACACTCACCACCCATCGGCGACGCCGTGCCCCGCTGTGCCACCACCCGGAGCTGCTGCTTCTCACTGTGCACCAGGTAACCCAGCAGCAGCCCCACGGCTGGACTCTGCCCTGCCGGGTCGATGGCTGACAGATGAAGCCACTGCCTGTTCCTGCACCGCCTCGGCCCTGAGCTTTGTGCTGGGTGCTGGGCTCTGTGCTCCCACAGCGTCCCTTGGTGCAGCGCGGGGCTGAGTGTTGAGCAGCCCCTGCCGTGTGCTCGTTGTGCTCGGCACAGGGTGGCTGCACGTGTCCTGGGCCCATCGCATCGCTGTTGGTTCCTGCCACGTGGCAGCAGCTGCAATGAGCTGCCGGCCCGGCCCTTCCCACAGCCCACAGCAGCTCCATCCCCATCCTGTCCTGCAGAATCACAGAACGGCCCAGGTTGGAAGGGACCTCAGGGATCACGAAGCTCCAACCCCCCATCAATGCAGGGCCACCTACCTCCCCATTGCACAGCAGCCCAGGCTGCCCAGGGCCCCATCCAACCTCCAACACCTCCAGGGATGGACGGGGCATCACAGCCTCTCTGCAGCTGTTCCAGCCCCTCCCCGCTCTCACAGCACACAACTTCCCCTGACACCCAACCCCAAGCTGCCCTCCCTCAACCCCTCACCACCCGTTTCTGCCCCACGCTGACACCCCCAGCTCCCGAGCCGTGGCACCCCCGGTTTGGTGCTGAGCTCCCAGCAGTGCCAGCACGGGGACCCCGCTGCCACCCCACCCTGCCCTTCTCCACCCGGGGGGCACGGATCCCACCGGCCGCAGGCGGTCGCCCGCTCTGTGCGTTACAGGGATCGGGAAGTGCGTGGCCATGGACCTGGCCCGCAGGAACGCCCGCACCATCCTGGCGTGCCGGAGCCGGGAGCGCGGCCAGGCGGCGGCGGAGGAGATCCGGGCGGCCACCGGCAACCCCAACGTGGTGCTGCGCCTGCTGGATAGCGGCTCGCTGGCCTCGGTGCGCGCCTTCGCCGCGGAGGTGCTGCGGGAGGAGAAGCGCCTGGACGTGCTGGTCAACAACGCCGGCCTCACCGGTAACGCCCCGCGCCCGCCGCCGCCCCGCCTCGCTAAAACCGCGGCCCCACGGCACCGCGCGCCTCTTGCAGGGCTGCCTTTCGCCCTCACGCCCGAGGGCTTGGAGCGGACCTTCGCCACCAACTACCTGGGCCCGTTCCTGCTCACCAACCTGCTGCTGGGTGAGCCGAGGGCTGCGCGCTGGGGGCGGCCGGGCCGGGGGGGGGGGGTGCCGGGTGAGGACCTCATGCCCCGCTCCGCGCAGACCTGATGAAGGCGTCGGCGCCCGCCCGCGTCGTCACCGTCTCGTCCTTCCGGCACAGCGCGGGCACCGCGGACGCGCGATTCCTCACCGGGCGGGCGAGGCCCGGCGGCTTCGATCCCGTCTACAACAGCACCAAACTGATGAACATCCTCTTCACCGCCGAGCTGGCGCAGCGCCTGCAGGGCACGGGTGGGTGATGGGCCGCGCCGTGTTGTGCTGTGCCGAGCCGTGCTGCACCGTGTCCTGTGCCCTGCCCTGCTGCACCATGCCGTGCCGTGCCGTGCCATGCTATGCTGTGCCCCTGTTGCATTTGGCTGCAGGCTCTCAGGCCCAGCAGCACCTCAGGGCTGCCCACCCATCCCAACTGCACGGCGGTGCCGCGGCGCAGGGCCTGCATGGGGGGCTGCAGGGGCTCAGCAATGCCCCGGGACCCCGCGGACACGGGATCGGGGATGGCTGTTATCACCGGTGGGGTCGGGGCCCTTCCTGCTGCCCCGGCTTTCCGGGGCCGCCCCACGGGCCCCTGCTTGGCACGGGGGGATCTGCCTGCCGTGGGCGGGACGGTGACGGTGCCGCCGGGCAGGGGTGACCGCCAACAGCCTGAACCCCGGCGTGGTGAGCACCGGCATCATGCGTAACTTCAGCTGGGTGGTGCGCGGCCTCTTCTTCCTCATCAGACCCTTCATTAAGGTGAGCGGGGCCACCCCCGGCGACGGGGCTCCGGGTGGGCAGGGATCGGCGGAGCCCCCGCTCAGCTCTTTTCGCCCCGGCAGTCGGCAGAGCAGGGGGCCGTCAGCACCATTTACTGCGCCGTCTCGGAGGAAGTGTCGGGCATCTCAGGGAAGTATTTCGGCAGCGACTGCAGCCTCACGCTGCCCTCCGCAGCCGCCCGGGACGCCGGGCTGGCCCGCAAGCTTTGGGAGGAGTCGGAGCGGCTGACGGGGCTGAGCCCATAGGCTGGGCGGCCCCGAGACCCCCGCCCGCTAGGAGCCGCGATGGGGCAGAGACGGAGCGAGCGGCCGCGGCGTAAGCGCTTTATTAAAGGCCTCGGTGTGAGCGCTACTCCCAGGTGATGTCCAGGTCCAGCCGCTGCTTGCGCACGGCCTGCAGGAAGCCGTCGTAGTCGCGGCGGTGCACATCGCGGCAGCGGGACACGTCCAGGCGGCGCAGGCGGCCGTCGGAGGCCAGCAGCAGCCGCACGGTGCGCCCGGACACGCGGCTCTCGACCAGCGAGAGCTCCTGCAGCTCCTGCAGCGGCGGCCCCGGCGCCGTCAGCACCGTCTCGAACACGGAGTCCAGCGGCAGCGCGATGCCGAGCAGGCGCAGGCTCTGCAGGCGCGGGCAGCGGCACAGCAGCGACGCCAAGGTGGCGCGCAGCAGCAGCCCGTGGGGCTCCGGCACGGGCCCGGGCAGCGCCAGGGAGAAGCGGCGCAGGCGGGGCAGATCGCGGGGCAGCAGCTCCGTGTCCCACCGCGGCGGCTCCTCGGGCGGCTCGGCGTCGGGGCGGCCGCGCGGCGGGGGCCGCAGCTCCGCGCTGAAGTCCCGCAGGTTGGGGCAGCAGCCGAGCAGCGCGCACAGGGCGAGCTCGTCCTCCAAGAGGAAGCCGTGCAGCGCGAGACTCTGCAGCCGCGAGCCCAGGCCGCGCACCAGCGGCAGCGCCTCGCACAGCGCCCGGCCCCGCGGCCCCGCACACGACAGCCCCAGCCGGGCCAGGCGGCTCCAGCTCAGCAGCGCGTCCCAGGCTTCCGTCTCGCCGTCCCCGAGGCACGCGGTCACCTCCTCGGCGTCGGGGCAGACGGCGCGGGCGGCCGCCAGCTCGGGCTCCGTCAGCTCCTCCAGGTGCCGCAGGGGCAGCGCGAGCGGAGGGCCGCCGCGTCGCCGCGCCAGCTCCCGCAGCGAGGGGAAGCCGTCGGCGTCGCCGGTGTCGTCGAGCCGCCCCGCGTGCAGAAGGGCGAGCGCGGCCGGTGCGTCGCCGTGCGCCAGCACCTCCAGGAGCGGCAGCGCCAGCAGCACGAAGGCCAGCGCCGGCACCGCGCCGTCCCCCGCCGGCTCCAAGCCGCGCGCCAGGAGGACGCGGAGCGTCGGGCAGCCCGGGGTCCGTTCCAGCGGGTCGTAGGCCAGGTGCCGCAGGGCGCGTGGCGTCACCTTCTTGCAGCGGGACACGTCCAGCTCCCGCAGGCGGCGGCAGGAGGAGCCCACGGCCGCCAGCACCTGCACGTTGGCCTGCGTCTCCGCCAGCCCCAGGCGGCTCAGCAGGGGCAGCTCCTCCACCAGGTCCACCAGCACGTCGGTCGACAGCCGGCTGCAGCCGTGCAGGTCCAGCGCGCTCAGGCTCTGCGCCCGTAGACGAAGCTGCATCAGCAGGGCCTGCGGCGTCGCCGGCGCTCCCCGAGCCCCACAGCAGCTCGGGACCCTGCAGCGCCCGGCCCACGCCCCCGGTGCAGCAGACGGCCTTGTGCCCAAGCGGTGCTGGGAGGGGAAAACCAGTGCAGACCAGTGCCCCTCGTCCCCTCCTTGATGTCCCACAGCAGCTGCCAGACCCTGCCCCATGCAACACCAATCAGCTCCGCTCGCAGCCCCACAGCAGGCACCCCCTGCCCATGCAGCCCAGCCCCACAGCGGGCACCCCCTACCCACACCCAGCCCCACTCACCTTGCAGCGCACGGTGATGAGCTGCCCGATGGCGTTGCTGACCAGGCCGTGGCAGTGCTGCAGGCTGAGCTCCTGCAGGTGAGGCAGCAGCAGCAGATGCAGCGCAGCACGCGACAGGCGGCGGCTCTCGCCCAGCAGCCGGATCAGGTCCTGCACCAAACTGCCGGCTGCGGGCAATGTGGGTCAGCAAGCAGCACCGCCTGCCTGCCTGCCTGCCTGCCTTCCTCCTCGTGCACCCCGCAGCTCACCCAGGTCGTTGAAGGGGCCCATGACGAAGCGGAAGCTGTACTCATCCAGGTAGTTCTCGCTGTAGTCCTTCACCCACACGCTCTGCATGTGCTGCACCAAACTCTGCAGGCAGAGGCTGCCCAGCGTCGGCACCGCCTTCCTCCGGGGCATCGACTGCTGCGGGGAAACGCACGGCTGAGCAGCAGGGCCGGGCGGCGGGGTGTGTTTAGGCGAGTCTGTGAAGCCGTTTAGGAGCACTGCCGCCCGGCCGCGTGCTGCCAGCGGGCTCGGCGACATCGCCGGCACGGAGCCGCGGTGCCGCTCCCGTAGCAGCTCCGCACGGCAGCTGCGCTCGAAGCATCCGGGCGGGCTGAGACGCCGGCAGGACCGGCAGCGCGGCTCCCCCGCGCCGATCCCAGCCGCCGGGCGGCCCCTCGCTGTCACGACCGGCCCGGACGGGGATGGCTGGCAGCCGGGCGCGGCGACCTCAGAGCTCCTTCCTGGCCCCGACGACCCCGCGGTTCTCCCAGCGGCTCCGGGACCGGGGAACCGCGCCCCGCACGGAGCCGTTCTCCGCCGGACCAACGCACCAGAGAACCCAGCTCCGCCCGCCCGGTGCTGGGGGTCGGGGCCGGGCCCCGGTGGGGCCACTTACCGGCTGTGCCCGGCCCGGCCCGGCTCGCTTCCTCCTCCCGCCCGGTCCCACCCATGGGGCAGCGCCCCGCCGCCCGTCCCGCCCCGCCCCGCTCCCCCCACGCCCGGCCGGCGTCACTCGGCTCACTGCGCATGCGCGCAGCACTCGGGGTCCTTCTACCTCCCCCCTCGGGCTGCCCACAGCCGTGCCGCACCGCGTGGCCGCACTGCGGGCCGTGCTGGCCGTCAGGCGCCGCTCTGGGCGGCCCGAGGGGTCCTCGAGAGGGGCTTCGCGGCCGGGCGGCGGCTCCGGGCCTCCGGATCGGCGCCGGGCGCGGCGTTGAGGTACCGGCGGCGGGGGGCGGGCGGGGAGCGGCGGCGCGGTTGGGCTCCGGGCCGCGAGGCGATCCGTGCCGCTCTGCCGGCCGAGCTGAGGGCTGCGGTTCGCCGCGCCGCGCGGGCCGTGCTGTGCCGAGCGCTTCTGGAACCGCGCTGAGGGAACGGGCTGGGCCGGGCGGAACCGGCGGGATCGGGAGCCAAAGCTGTGAGCGACCGGCGGATGGGAGCGGAGGGGGCGGCCTCTGACCGGGAAACAGCGATGGGGAGACATGGAGGGCCGGGATGGGACCCGGTTGCGGCTGGGGTGGGGTTGGGGTCAGGTGGGTGTCAGGGCGGCTCCCGGCCCGCTCAGGCGCTGCCGTTCGGTGCCCGGGTGGAGCTGTCGATGTGCGAGCGGTTGGTGGTCGGGCCGAATGATCCTAGAGGTCTTTTCCAACCGTAACGGTTCTGGCGCTCAGCGCTGGGATGCGTGGAGGAATGGAGGCGCCCCCAGGCACGGGCACAAAGCTGGGAGCGGTGACTGACGGCCCAGAGGGCTGCGCTGCCATCCGGCACCGCTGGGCAGGCTGAGGGCTGGCACAGGGGAACCTGATGGGTTCAACGTGGCAGCGCAGGGCTGGGCATGGCGGGGGTGAGGGGGGAACAGCTGCAGTGCACAGGTTGGGCTGGGATGCCGGAGAGCAGCTCTGCGGAGAAGAAGCCGAGGGTTTTGATGGCCAAAGGCTGACCGTGAGCCGGCAGTGCAGCAACCCCGGTGGCCCAAGAGGCGCCCGGTTCCCTGGGCTGCAGGCACAGAGTGCGGCCAGCAGGGCAGGGAGCCGCTCGGCCCCTCTGCTCCGCCGCGGGGACAAAACATGCGGAGCACTGCGCCCAGTGCGGGGCTCCCGGTTGAGGGCAGGCGGGAGCTGCCGGGGCCTGGAGCAGCTCCTGATGGGGGCGGGCTGAGAGCCCCGGGCCGTGCGTGTGGAGGAGAGGAGGCTGAGGGGATGCGCGAAGGGCTGGGGCCGGGCTGTGGAGGGCGGCGGGCACGGGCTGCAGGCCGGGGAGCTGGAAGCGCTGTGCTGAGGGGGCACGGAGCACGGGGGCTGCAGGGTCTCCTTTCTGCAGGTACCCGAAGCCACCTAAAGGGACGCTTTGTGTGGGGAACGGACCGGGGGAGCTGCAGAGGTCCCTGGCAGCCCCTCCAGCTTTGAGTCACCACTTCTCTGCATTCAGCTCTGAGCAGCACCTGGTGCAGCTCTCTGCCCTCAGCCGCCGCCTCCAGCAGGGGGGCTGCCCTTATCGTGAGGTGCAGTGCCGTGTTCTCCTGTATTGATGATGCTGCCAAGGTCTTTCCGTGTGACCTTGGGCAGATCTCTTTTCCCCTCTCCTCCCTCAGCTCTCTGACGTGAGGTGGTGGCTGTGACCTACTTCACAGGGAGGATCCCTGCCAAACGAACACGAGGCGCTCGGAAGTTCCTTTGGAACTACTGGGAGCAGCTGTCAGCAATTCAGTGTTTGTTATTTCTGTTCCTGCTATTCTAAGCAGAAGGGAGGCGCCAGGAGCTGCCGGCCTGGAAGCTGAGCTTCCCTTGGCGAGCAGTGCTGTCCCAATGCAGCACAGAACAGAAGCACTGAGCAGTGGTGGCCGTTGCAGAGCTTGCAGAGCAGGCACGGCTCACATTGGCCGTTCTCAGGGGCTGAATGGGGGAGGCGGGCAGGTGCTGCAGGGATGGGGGGCATGAGGGTGAGCGGAGAGCACTGACCTGTCCTTGCTGGGCCGCGGCGTCCTGCGCTCCGTGGTGCTGTGCCGCATGGCTGCGGCCCCCGTGGTTTGCTTTGGGCTGCAGGAAAGGCTCCCCCGAGTGCTGGGAGGTGCAGAGCTGTGCTGCTGTGCCTGCTGTGCCCCGGCTTTGTTGCGGCGCTGCTGGGCTGTGCTGGAGTTGTGCTGCAGCCGAGCACGGCGCAGGCTCACAGAGCCGCCTGCAGGGTCCTAAAGCCTGGAGCTGCGCTGGGGGCTGAGCTGCTCACGGCTCTGCTGGGTTGAGGTGACGTGGGCTCCAGAAACTTCTCCTTGCTGCCTTTCTGTATGGGATGTCGTTACCAGTGAGAGCATTAATGAAGGTGTTTGATGGTCTGGCTGTATGGGACACAGGAGCGTGGCTGTTCTTCTGTCTGCAGTGCTGGGGTCGGAGCTGCAGAGCGTCTGTGGGTCTGGTGGCGTCCCGGGGCAGAG